TCTTTGTTCTCATCTTTTTTTTTTTGCCACCATCATTACCTTGTTTTTGCCAAAATCACATTCCCTGTCTACAGACTTTTTTTTTTCTGCTCTCTTCAGAGGGGCGGCAGCAGTCCTGCATGGTCCAGTGAGACCCATTTTTTTTTTGGAGGCCTTCAGTTTTGAGTCCCTTTCAGTCATCGTCTTCTGAGTCTGACTTTTTTTTTTTCTCGGATGCGCTCTCTGGCAAGTCGTCTCCCATCTGCTGGAACCTTCCCGATTTTTTTTTTCACATGTATTTGATGGTCACCTTGAATTCAGCCATCTCATACCCAAAAAGCTTTTTTTTTTGACAAAGGGAACAAAGAATCAGGAGGAATGGAGGTATTCAAAGTGCAGGAGTTTTTTTTTTGCAGGCAGAAGCAAGCCAGCGGCCCCTCCTGCAATAGCCCTCAAGGCGCCAGACTCACCAGGACGCGAGCCTGCTCTGGGGTCAGCACATCGCCCTCCTTGCACACCTCAAATTTTTTTTTTAGAGTCACCACACCTGCAGAAGAGGGTGGCTCTCAGTTACCTCTGGCCCAGAGGCCTGCAGAGCCCTTTCTGTCCCTGCCACGTTAGGAGGAATCCAGTCAGCCACCTGCCCTTTTTTTTTTTCCATCACACACTGGGCAGTGGCTGTCTCCCTGAGGTCCCTTTGATTCGCCTTTTTTTTTTCCTCCTGGGTTCAAGTGATCCTCTTGCCTCAGTCTCCCATGTAGCTAGGACTTTTTTTTTTCACCACCATGGCTGTCTAGTTTTTTGACTTTTTTTTTTTTTTAACAGGCGCTTTTTTTTTTATGTCCCCTGTCCCTCAACAGCTGCAAGACTATAAGTTACTGTCTGCTTTCTTTTTTTTTTTGAGGCGTGCACTCTTAGCCCCATTTTCACATGAGAAAATGGAGGCTTGTAGAAATAACTTGCTCAGCCAGAAAGGGATGAGCTTGCAGGCTTGTGCTCTTGGACTCTAGGCTTTTTTTTTTTGGCTCCAGGGCTGCCCATACCTCTCTTGAGGGTGGTGGGCAGGCCCAGCTGCCTGAGCTGTGGCTCCATGGAGTGGGGGAACTGCTCCAGGGGCCCCGGGTCCAGGCTCACTTTTTTTTTTGCTTTGTTACCAGCGCGGGCGTAGTCCATTTCTGTGTATTTTGTGAACCACTTTTTTTTTTAAGAAGTGGTAGGAGGGGATGCTCCTGGCCACACCACCAGCCCATGAGTCATTTTTTTTTTAGTGTCCCATGGCCCTGGGCCTTCACAGACCTTGGCTGCTGGCCAGCAGCCAGTCCACCACACCATGCTGGAGAGGGCAGAGAGGGCTGTGGTCCCAGGTCACTAGCTCAGTTTTTTTTTTTCAGGAGCAGTTCCGACTTGATGCCGCATATGGAATGAAGTCCCTGCATCATTTTTTTTTTTAAATCCCCCTCAGCCGCCTCTTTCTCTCCGTTCCTCAGCAGTACTTACTCATTTTTTTTTTCCTTTGTGCGGTTGGTGAACAGGAGACCCACTTCACCCCTCAACCTTCTGCTTTTTTTTTTATCAAGAGTGAGGCCAGCTTGGTCACATTAGAGCAGTGGTTCTCTACTAGGTTTTTTTTTTCTCACAAGGGGACATTTGGCAACGTTTAAAGATGTTTCTGGTGGTCACAGCTTTTTTTTTTGGGAGGCAGGAAGGGTGTTATTCCCTGGGTCCGGAGGTGAAGGGAGAACCCAGAGCTTTAAGCCAGGCCCTGCTCTCCCTGAGCCACGGGCCAGCCGACGACTGGGGGAGGCTATCACGTGGGAGTAGTGGGAGAGAAGGCGGCTCTGCCTCAGCCCTACCCCGTGAAAACCATTTTTTTTTTTGGTGCAGGTTGTCTTTGTACTCATCAGATGGACTTCGACCCAAGGCCACCTTTTTTTTTTTGTTTTTGCCAAAGAACATCCTACCAAGCAAGAGAAAGAGCATTCTGTGAATTTTTTTTTTTGCCCTCCCCGCCCCTCAGCAACATGCAAAGCAGCTCTGGTCCCCAGTGAGCTCAGGCCCAGGCTGAGCCAGTGGCACTCACTTCTCCATGCTGCCTGGCCACACTGTCCCCACTTCGGGGTCCTTTTCATTATGTTCCCACCCACAGACCCCTGACATGGCAACACTTTGTCTTTTTTTTTTTCACGAGCATCATGTACTCATGTATGGGTTCTCCGTCTGGATGTATGCAGGTTTTTTTTTTACAGCCTGAACCAGAGCTGGGGCGGCAGGAGACCAACACAAGAGCCACCTGTTTTTTTTTTGAAACTGCCCATGTGGCTCCTGCATCCTGCTCCCAGGTCACTGTCTGTGTCTTTTTTTTTTTGCTGACATTCTAAAACTGGTGTGATGCTCCTAAACGGCCCAAAGTCCAGGTTTTTTTTTTCACTTCTCTGGAAAGGACCACCTCTCAAACATCTCAATTGCCAAGTCCTGCTTTTTTTTTTTCAGTGCAAAATCTGTTTTCTTTCTTTTTGAGATGGAGTTTCACTCTGTCATTTTTTTTTTAGTGCAATGGTGCGATCTCAGCTCACTTGAACCTCATGAGTTCAAGCAATTCTTCTGCCTCATCCTCCCGAGTAGCTGGGATTATATTATAGATGCCCACCACTATGCCCGGTTTTTTTTTTTATTTTCAGTAGAGAAGGGGTTTTGCCATGTTGGCCAGGCTGATCTCAAACTCCTACCTCAGGTGACCTGCCTGCCTCAGCCTCCCGAAGTGCTAGGATTACAGGCGTGAGCTTTTTTTTTTGGCCCAAGACCAGCTGTAACAGTGAAAAGGAAGTGCTCTTCAGTGGCAGGTTTTTTTTTTTCGTTATTAAGGTGTCAGTGGCATGACCCAGGCACCTAAAGGGTCAGAAATTTTTTTTTTTTTTTGACTGAGAGCAGCCTGGCCGGGTCCCCACTCAGAAGGGCCTTCTTCCCTTTTTTTTTTCACCGGCTGTGCTTCCAGGCGTTCCGGATGTCCTTCAGCTTGCTGTTCCTCTTTTTTTTTTCAGAGAAGATGAAAAGGTACTTGTAGGTGTCCACACATTTCCGAAGCTGTGTTTTTTTTTTCCAGGCTCTGAGTTCAAGCAGCAGCATACAATGGGCACTACTCTGGCCTCATTTTTTTTTTAATCTGCTCTGGGCCCCTGACAACTATGGAAACTGGAAGAACTGGAGGCCTTTTTTTTTTTTGTCTCCTACCTCTATTACTGAAATTAGGATCCCTGACTACAGGGGAGGCTGAGCCATGGATCTACACCCCACGGCCTTTTCCAGGTTTCTCACTTATCTATGACCAACAGTTTTTTTTTTTATCAACGGTTAACCTAGAAACATTCACCCACACTACGAAGGGTCCTGCTACTTTTTTTTTTATGGAGCCTCACTGTTATAAGGGGAGGCAGCTGATCGGCACTGCTCTGCACATGGTGCTGGCCAAAGCCACCAGGAGGCAGCCTCCAGGAGTGGAGTCATTGTGCAGAAGGAGACTGTTTCATCCAGCCTGCAGCCCAGGTTGGCAAGTCAGAAGCTGTACAGACAGTGGGTTTTTTTTTTTTCCTACACCTGGTAAATCTCCCAGCTTTTTTTTTTTTAAAGACAGGGTCTCATTTTTTTTTTCAGGCTGCATACCGCCATGTCCAGCTAGCTTTTTTTTTTCTTTTCTTTTTGTTTTTTTTTTGTTTTGTCATGTTGTCCAGGCTGCTCTTGAACTCTCAGACTCAAGCTATCTGACCACTTGGGCTCCCAGATTACTGTAATCCCACGCTGGGATTACAGGCGTGGCCCACCGTTTTTTTTTTTCTCCTGTTTTTTGTCATTGGGCAGGCTAACAAACCTCTATAAGCTTCAGTGACCCCAAATGCAAAACAGCAACATCATCACCTAGTACCCACATCTCAGCGATGTTATGAGGTTTTTTTTTTATGACACATATGAAACACTTAGTACAGGACAGGGCACAGAGTACGAGCTAGTCAAAGCTGGAAATCATCACTATGGAAGTTTTTGCTGGTGCTGCTGCTGGAGGAAAAAGGGTTTTTTTTTTAGCTTGGAGATTTTTTTTTTCCCAATAGTATGCTCCCCTGGCCAACAGTCCTTTTTTTTTTTTGATAAAACAAACAATTGCAAGCTCTAGAAAAAGAAAACTTCTTACCTCTTCTATCAGGTTTTGTTTCAATTCCAAGCCTTTCTTGGCAGTTTTGGTTAAGGAGACTAATATTTTTTTTTTGGAGAGAGATGATGAGGGACCAATCTAGATGCACTGGACACTTATTTTTTTTTTTTTTTTTGCAGAGAGCTCAGTCGGATGCAGCCATTCTGAAAAAAGGCAGCAAGGCCTTCGTGGCCATCATTTCTGGCACACAAAGCCATTTCCAGGGCCCATGGAATGCCTACTCATTATTTTTTTTTTCCTGAAGATCTCTGGATATAACTCCTGCTATTTAGACAAACTAGGCCTTTCTTTTTTTTTTAGGCTCACCCAGAAAACTTGACTGTGGTGTGGGGGTGGAGACTGTTCCTGCTGCTGGGAGTGCTCTCAGTGGCAGACCTCACCTGCTGGCTGAGGCAGGCCCCTATTTATTTCTTTTTTGAGATGGGATCTCACTCTGTCACCCAGGCTGGCATGCAGTGGCACGATCTTGGCTTTTTTTTTTCTTGAGCTCCTGGGCTCAGGCAATCCTCCCACAGGATGACAGGCACACCCCACCATGGCCTGCTAATTTTGGCTGGGACCATAGAAATGCACCACCATGCCCAGGTGAGTTTTGTATTTTTGCAGAGATGGGTTTTGCCATGTTGCCCAGGTTGGTCTTGAACTCCTGGGCTCAAGAGATCTGCCTACCTCAGCCTCCGAAAGTGTTGGAATCATAGGTGTGAGCCACCACACCCGGCCCCTTGCTGCTCTTGACCATGATGCAGAGGCCACTCTAGCTGGCCTATGCTGTGCAATTTTTTTTTTGGGGACTGAATCTCCTGTTATGTATCTGCACTCCAGTTTTGCAATCTGGACCCACAGATGCAGCAACACCTCTCTGGGGAGGAATATGTACCTCTACTGTAAAAATGGCTGGTTTTTTTTTTGCCCTCTACCCAGAGAGTTTGCATTTGCCAGACCTGACCTGGGCCCCCTCCACAGAATCAAATCGTTCCACAAACACTTAACAGAACTCCAACTGCAAAGCCCCGGGCGCCTTCACAAAGGGACCCGGGCCTCTCTTCTTTAACCTGCCTGGCACTCAGCCCCTCTTAACAAGGTACCACACAGACAAAGACACTGACATCAGTCAATGGTAAGTGGAGTAGAGGGGGGCAAACTTTTTTTTTTGGGCCACTTCCCATTATTTCCACTGTTACACCTTTGGCTCAAGTCAGCATCTTTTTTTTTTGGATTAATGCTGGTCTCACTGCTTCCATCCCTGCCCTCTGCCCTGTCTTCCCCAACTATTCTCACCAAGGCAACCAGAGTGACCCTTTATAAGCAAAGGTAAATCACATGAGTTTTTTTTTTCCCATTTCACCTGGGCAGGAAAGCCAATGCCTTACTAAGGCCGAGGAAGCCTTTTTTTTTTTGCCTAACCCCTCCCCCAACTGTATTTGGCTCCTTCTGCTCCAGCCCCACTGGCCTCTTGTCCCAAACATGTCAAACCTGCTCCCACTTCAGAGCCTTTTCAGTTTACGTTTCCTCTACTTGCAACAGCACTCTTCCAGATAATTCCACAGGTTGCTCGCTTCCTTTAATTTTTTTTTTTTTTTCATCAGTGAGACCTTTCCTGACCACATTATACAAAATATTGCCGTCTCTTCACCCCACGTTTACTCAATCTGATTTTTAGCATTTTGTGGAATGTGTTTCCCCTGAAACGTTTTTTTTTTTAAGAAACAGGCCTTCTTTGCAACTGCTGTATCCTCCAACGCCTAGAAAGTGCCAGACCCCTGAATATTTTTGAGTATGCCAGGGAGTCGGGTTAAAAGAGATGCCACCACAGTTTTTTTTTTCAAAAATGGTCTCTTAAGTGAGCCACTACGCTCAAGTAGGGCGTAGTTCCATTTTTTTTTTGCAACACACTGAAAGTCGTCTCTATAAAACAACAACAACAACAACAACAACTTTTTTTTTTACAACAAAACCTAGCTGGGTGTAGTGGCGTGCGCCTGTAGACAACAACAACTTTTTTTTTTACAAAACCTAGCTGGGTGTAGTGGCGTGCGCCTGTAGTCTCAGCTACCCGGTTTTTTTTTTTGGGAGGATCGCTTAAGCCAAGGAGATCAAGGCTGCAGTGACTTATTTTTGAGACGGAGTCTCGCTCTGTCGCGCCCAGGATGCAGTGCAGTGGCGTGATCTCGGCTCATTGTTTTTTTTTTCTCCCGGGTTCAAGCGATTCTCCCACCTCAGTCTCCCAAGTAGCTGGCATTTTTTTTTTTTGCCACGACGCCCATCTAATTTTTAGTATTTTTAGTAGAGAAGGGGTTTCACCATATTGGCCAGGCTGGTCTAGAACTCCCGACCTCAGATGATCCACCCACCTTAGCCTCCAAAAGTGCTGGGATTACAAGCGTGAGCCACTGCACCCGGCCTGTGGCGCCACTGCACTCCAGCCTGGGCAACAGCGAGACCCTGACTCAGAGGAGTCCTATTAACTGACAACTAAGAAAGAGCTTTTTTTTTTAAGAGGTAAGCATGCCAGACAGAAACAACCGCAGACACACAACGCCAGACATTTTTTTTTTCCTGTGCTGAAAGAAGGGAACCGGGAAAGGCAGCCAGGGTGGCGGGAGCGCTTTTTTTTTTGAAAGGGCCGAGGTTGGGAAAAGTGGGCCGAAACGGCACCAGGCACAGCCGGGGGCGGTGTTCAGGAGCTGCCTCCCGGCCCAGTAGGCCTAGTAAGAGCACTTGAAACTAGTTTTTTTTTTCCGCTCCCCGTACCCGACCAGGCGTCAGCCCCCTCTGGCGGTTTTACAGTCTCGAAGCCCCCATTCCAGCTAGCAGCGAGGCAGCGGAACACCTCGAGGATATCCTGGCGTTTTTTTTTTTTCCCCCGCCGCCCCGAAGCTCTCACCGCAGGCTGGGCAGCCAACCCACAGAGTTTTTTTTTTGGCCCAACGCCCCCCTCGCCCACCTTTCTTGTCGCGCTTGGATTTGGGCATTTTTTTTTTTCCACGTGCGGCGGAAGACGGTGCACCCCGTTAGGACCCCAGCGGCGCGGGGGCCTCTGGGACGGCTCTCGGGGGCTGCCCCTCGCGTGTGCCTGACCCAGTGCACTGCAGCCTGCCTTTTCCTGCCAAGCCACCACCTGCGCTTTCTCCCGCGCCTGTAAGGCGACTTCCCGCTTTTTTTTTTAATCCCCGAATCCCGAGCGTCCGACCGAGGGCCTCGCGCACGGTTCCAACTTTTTTTTTTTGCGGAGGCGGAGCCCGCGGCCCGGTGCATGCCGGGACGGCGGTGGGCGGTGCCTGCGCTCGCATCATGGCGGCTGAGTGGGCTTCTCGTTTCTGGCTTTGGGCTGCGCTGCTTTTTTTTTTTGCCGCGGTCTACGAAGACCAAGTGGGCAAGTTTGATTGGTGCGTACGTGTATTTTTTTTTTGAGAGATAAGTGGCTGTTTCCACGGTACCTGTCTCCTGCCTGCTAAAGGGAAGGGAGTTGTCATGTAACAGGATTGGCCGCATAATTTGCAGGACCCAGTACAAAATGAAAATTTTTTTTTTCTTGTTCAAAAATTAAGGATTTAAAGTCGTTCGAAGCAGAGCTTTAAACCATTTTTTTTTTTCCTTCTAAGCTGATCCTTGTGTGTGAGCCGGCCCTGCCATCCAGGCATGCTTTTTTTTTTGGTCAGAGGTCACTGATCCCGTTCTCCCTCGTCAGGTTCCATTTCTTTGACTCAGGTTTCTGGTCTACCAGGTGTCAGAGGTCACCAAGCCGTCAGTGAACTTGAATTCCTATTTTTTTTTTGTGTCTTGTAGGCATTTGAACAGGAGCTTTCGTCTTAAAAGTCCTAAACTGTTTTTTTTTTCCCCTCTCATCAACCTAGTCTGGCTCTGGGCTCAGAGCAGGATTGCCCAAAACTCTAAGCAGCTAGAATATGCCATTCATTCCTTCATTCACCCACTCACGTCTTCCTTAAGGCCCTGAAGTAGCTTGCTTTTGTTTAAATTTTACCAATTAAGAGTTGTGTGATCTTGGGGAAAGTGGCTTAACCACTCAGTGCCTTTGTTTCTTTGTCTATACAATGGGTTTACTAACAGTCTGTTATCTATTACAGTACTTGTGAGAATGAATGAGACAGTCCAATTAAATTACTTAGAACAATGCCTGGCTCATTGAATGCAGTCATTAAATGTTACCTGTTATTATTGCTCTTTACACTTTTTTTTTTTTTGCCCAGCTCAGATTTCTCCTCCTCTGAAGTATTTTCTGTCTTGAAAAAGTTGATTCACATATATATTGAGTACCTGTTATGCCAGACAGTGTGACAAATGCAACATAAGTTATTTTTTTTTTGATGTGCACAACTGTTCATAATGTCATATGTGTATATTACACATATATAGCTTTTTTTTTTTGTATCTAATGTTGCAGAATACTAGGTATATGCAATTTTCTTTTCATGAATGAATGAATGAATGCATTTCCTAACTGCTTAGTGTTTTGGGCAACTCTGCTCTGAGCCCAGGGCCAGGCTAGGCTGATGGGGGGGAAAGACTCTGTTTAAGACTTTTCTTTCTTTCTTTTCTTTTTTTTTTTTTTTTTTTTTTTTAAAGACAGAGTTTCTCTCTTGTTGCCCAGGCTGGCGTGCTTTTTTTTTTTCTCGGCTCACTGCAACCTCCACCTCCTGGGTTCAAGCAATTCTCCTGCCTTTTTTTTTTTAGTAGCTGGGGTTACAGGCATGAGCCACCATGCCCAGCTAATTTTGTATTTTTTTTTTTTTTGAGGCTTCTCCATGTTGGTCAGGCTGGCCTCGAACTCCTGACCTCAGGTGTTTTTTTTTTCTCGGCCTCGCAAAGTGTTGGGATTACAGGTGTGAGCCACAGAGCCTGGCTTTTTTTTTTTTCCAGTTTTTTTTTTTTTTTTTGAGGCGGAGTCTCACTCTGTCCTCCAGGCTTTTTTTTTTTGGCGTGATCTCGACTCACTGCAAGCTCCGCCTCCCGGGGTCATGCCATTTTTTTTTTTTTGCCTCCCGAGTACCTGGGACTATAGGCGTCTGCCACCACGCCCAACTAATTTTTTTTTTTTCTAGTAGAGATGGGGTTTCACCATGTTAGCCAGGATGGTCTCGATTTCCTGAGCTTGTGATCTGCCCGCCTCGGCCTCCTGAAGTGCTGGGATTACAGGCATGAGCCACCGTGCCCGGCCACAAACACTTCTTATATGTCCTAAAATGAGTGTGATGGTGATAGCCCTGTGATTTGTTCTTTTCTGGAGCATTTTGTGGAATGGCGATTTTAGCTCCTTACATTCCCCTGTACTTTTTTTTTTTGGAGACAGCAGTATGTTGGGAAGCTCAAGTTTGCCTCCTTGGAATTTTCCCTTTTTTTTTTGAAGTTGGTTGTAGCCACAGAGAAGAATGTGATTGCAGCATTAAATTCCAGTTTTTTTTTTATCTGTGAGTGAACTGGGAACTGTGTCTACTGGCTGCCTAAGGGATAGAAGGCTCACCATTGCCAACTCTGCTTGGCTGATTCCTGAATAAGGGACATGTTGGCCAAAAGACTTTTTTTTTTGTGGATTCTGATACTTTTTTCAGTCTTACCATCTTTGAATGTTTGTATATTTTTTTTTTTTACCTTTGCAGTTTATTCTCTTAGCCTGAATCCTGAGTGCCCTTAAATAAGATTTTTTTTTTAGCCCAGGCGGGAGGATCACTTGAGCTCAGGAGTTCGAGACCAGCCTGGGGATCACAGTGAGGTCCTATGTCTAAAATTTAAAAAATTAGTCAGGCATGGTGGCATGTGCCTTTTTTTTTTTCTACTTGGGAGACTGAGGTGGGATTCTTGCTTGAGCCCGGCAGGTTGAGGCTACAGTGAGCTGTGATCATGCCAGTTCACTCCAACCTACGCAGTAGAGCGAGACCTTGTCTCCAAAAAAGATGCTGCTGCAGAAAACACATTATTCTACTTTGCAGTAAACTCTCACATACCTTTTTTTTTTTACCTACATTGGCTGGATGTTTTTAGGCACTAAAATAATGGAAATAGAATTTTTTTTTTTTATTTTTCTTGTGACTTGGATGGATTTTATTAATCTTATTGTTGTTTGTTTATTTTTTTTTTGGTGGTAGTGGGGCCTGGACAGTAGTGGCTCCTCTTAACCCCTTCTACCCTTTTTTTTTTTTGAATGGTACTGGATCACTGCCAGTTAGCTATACTCCTTCACTCCCTCGAATTTTTTTTTTACATTGCTGTGCAAATGAAGAGCTCTTCATTTATCTCTTAGTCTTCTGGGTTTTTTTTTTTTGTTCACAGTAACGTCTAACTTTCATGTCTCTCAGTGTGGCGCCATGTTGATTTTTTTTTTGCAGAAGGGGCTGTGGATGCCATGCTGCTTCACGGACAGGGTAAGCAGAGTCCTGTGTCTCCATTGTGTGGCCGGCTCCCTGTCCCATTCCTTGGCTCCGTCATCTGTACAGGATCTGGTAGGAAAAGGAGATGGGGGACTCCTGACAGTGAAGGACAGGTACCTGTTTAACATGTATTTGCATCCAGAAATCAGAGGTGAGGCCATTGCTCACAGTGGGACCCTCGGAGGCGATTTTTTTTTTGGGAAATGACTTCACCATGATCTTTTCTTTTCCAGATGCAATCACTGTGTCCAATGGAGGAAGAATCATGCGTTCCTGGGAGACTAACATCGGGGGCCTGAACTGGGAGATATTTTTTTTTTGTGGCAGGTAGGGGAGAAACTGGATTCTATCTTGACTGAGTTAAAGGATTTACCGGAACACAGATCTGCACAGACAGCAAGTCTGGGCTTGTGGCTTTTTCCCAGGGACCACTTTTTTTTTTGCCATTGAGTCCCCATTGTGGATATGCTTGCTCGGCCAACGTGTATTGCCATTTTTTTTTTGTTGTGGATATGCTTGCTCAGCCAACATGTATTCAGCACCTGTTAGATGCATTTTTTTTTTGTGCAGTGTTTGCGCTTGTGCTTGAATGCTGTTCCTAATTTCACTGTGATTTTTTTTTTTTGCAATGTTCCAGATAAAAGAACATAATATAAAACTTCCAATGTTTAGTTTTTTTTTTTTTTTAACTTGACCTATTGTTACATCTTAGCTCAAGTTATTTATTTTTATTTATTAAGTTTTTTGAGAGATAGTTTCACTCTGTCGCCCAGGCTGGAGTGCAGTGGTACGATCTTGTTTTTTTTTTACCGTTGCCTCCCACGTTCGAGCAATTCTCATGCCTCAGCCTCTCCAGTAGTTTTTTTTTTAGGCATGTGGACCGTGCCTGGCTAATTTTTGTATTATTAGTAGAGATAGGGTTTCACCATGTTGGCCAGGCTGGTCTCGAACTCCTGGCCTCGTGATCCTCCCGCCTCAGCCTCTCAAAGTGTTGGGATTACAGGCGTGAGCCACTGCGCCCGGCCCCTAAAGTTGTTCAAATTTTTTTTTTTTTTGTATTAGCTTATATATCTTCTGATAGTAATTCATTTGGTAAACACGTGTTTTTTTTTTGGTGATGGGAACACACGGGACTGTGAGACAGCTGCTGTCATCGAGGATTCCTTTTTTTTTTGGGAGGCAGGCAGGTAGCACAGTAATGACAGCACTGTCTGATGGGTATGTGACAGAGGGTAGGTCCAGCTGCTGTGAAGTCCCGGGGAAGGAGGGAACAGCCCTTAGGAGAATTTTTTTTTTTCAGGGAAGCAAGCAGTGTGACCACATGGTTGCGAGTGCAGAATCTCAAGTTGGCTAACAAGAGGCAGAGCCAGGATTAGGATTCAGCTGTGTTTGACCCCAAAGCCTGTTTTTTTTTTTTTCAAGCAACAGTGAGTACTGTTCTGGACTGTCTCTCCGAGCTTGAGGCTCTGCAGGTGTGGGCTGCTCTCAACCTGTACTTGTGCTCAGTTTCCAGGCACTTGGGCTGGTTGGCCTGCAGGAGTCTGTGAGGTACATCGCAGTCCTGAAGAAGACGACGCTTGCCCTCCATCACTTTTTTTTTTGGCACCTCAAGTGGGTGGAACATCTCCCAGAAAGGTAAGGCCGCCTGTGTACAGGCAACAGCTGCCTCGTCCTACTCTCTACGAGCTCCTCTTTCTCCTTGAGGGACCCAAATTTTTTTTTTTAACCCAGGCCTGTCTCTTGTTAGTATTGCATGGAGTGTGTTGCACTCACATTTTTTTTTTGGCTGTGAGTATGGGTGAGACTCCAGAGTATGACTGGAGTTTCCTTTGCACTTTTTTTTTTACTCTCAAACTGGGGCGCTAGGGCGAGCCATGCTACGGGAGCTACTCACTCTTTTTTTTTTATGGTACTTTGTGCCTTCTGACTTCTAGTTCAAGTACCAGTTCTGACTGAGTTTTTTTTTTATATTAAGAGTTAGAACAACTCAAGAAGAGCCCAGGGTAGGCTGAATGAGTTTTTTTTTTTTTCTCGAGCTCCTGCTGGTAGAAAGCATTGAAATTGGGAAGGAACAGGAGGTTTTTTTTTTAAAAGAGAAAAGGCTCTACTTAGACACCCTGTGGCCATTTTCAAAGTTTAGTTTTTTTTTTAAAACTTCAAATTCTTGCCTGGCACGGTGTCTCACACCTGTAATCCCAGCATTTTTTTTTTCTGAGTTGGGTGGATCACTTGAGCTTGGGAGTTCGAGACCAGCCTGGGCAACCCCATCTCTACAAAAAATACAAAAAATTAGCCAGCATGGTGGTGCATGCTTGTGATCCCATTTTTTTTTTAGGCTGAGGTGGCAGGATCACCTGAGCCTCGGGAGGTAGAGGCTGCAGTGAGCCGTGATTGCACCACTGCACTCCAGCCTGGATGACAGAGTGAGACACTGTCTGAAAAAACTTTTTTTTTTAAATGCTATGAGACAGGTTATGGAATATCCATGAGCAACACTGGCTGGATGGGAGCTGCAGAGCGCCTGGCCTGCCTGGAGGGGGCAGCCTTACCCACCTGATTGGCACTTTTTTTTTTTTTTTAGCGTTGTCACGTCTTCTAACCGTAGGAAAATTTAGAAATCTGATTGTGTTTTTTTTTTTCTTCTAAATATTGACAACTAATTCAAATTAAGAACAACAACAAAAGCCCCTTTTTTTTTTGAGCCAAGCAAAACTTATTTGGGAATTACTAGTTTGTGACATCTGGCTGAGTTTTTTTTTTCCCTGAGAATAATCCTGTCCTGGGTTTAAAGCTAACGTTCCCGTTTCTTCTTTTTTTTTTTAGTGACAGCATCCACTACCAGATGGTGTATTCTTACGGCTCTGGGGTGGTGTTTTTTTTTTGAGTTGTTCCTTTCAGCCATGTGAACATTGTCAAGTTTAATGTAGAAGATGTTTTTTTTTTTCAGCAGGTACGGGAGGGTGACAGGAGCCTGTGAATAAGGTGGGATTGGGGTTTTTTTTTTAGATTTCTTTGTACTGGGGAACAGGGAACGTGGCTGGGCAGATGCAAAAGCTTTTTTTTTTCCCTCATTGTGGTCACTTGCCAGCTGCCTTCCCATTAGGCCTCTATTTAAATTTTTTTTTTTTGCATGTGTTATCTTCTGGGGTGGCTAAAAAATTACATAGATCTAGTCCCTTTTTTTTTTTATCTTAACAGTGCTGTGAAATCACAGTAGGACACCACATATGACAAATATTTTTTTTTTTTGCAGATCTGAAGTGTCAGGTATTTAAAATTATTGGGTTTATTTTTCCAGTTTTTTTTTTTTTCTGATATTTTTTCCACCTTTGGAGGCTCTCAGGAGGTTGGAGGGTGGGGTTTTTTTTTTCAGGAAGAATTCCTATGGAAGAACCTTTGAACTTAGGACCCCCAGTGGGATTTTTTTTTTTATACTGCTGTTGGGCTGAGAGGGAAATGTAAAAATCTTTCACGAGCTTCCTTTTTTTTTTTACTTTTCTGTAGGTCAGGGTTTCAACTCCATGGCTGCAGCACCTGTCCGGATTTTTTTTTTTGGTGGATGAGGCTGTCCTGGTGTGTCCTGACCCGAGCTCACGTTCCCTCCTTTTTTTTTTTCTGGAGACGGAATGGGAGCTGAGACAGATCCCGCTGCAGGTGAGAGGCTGCCACTGCTGCTTCTGGCCTGAGGCATTTCCTGCGGGGAGTAGAAAGTTTGGCATGATTCCCTTTTTTTTTTTTTCTCCCAGACTCTTCCTGAGCAGTGGAAGCCATTCAGGCCTCTGGCTGAACTGGCATAAGGGGAAATCGGCCACTTTCCCCTTTGGGGAATTTGAACTGGAGCATTTGGATTTTTTTTTTGTGGCCCAGTTACTTCCCCTGGTAAAGTAGGGCAGAGGGTATGAGCCTTGGATGGGTCAGGGACTCGTCAGCTGTCATTTGTAATCCTCCTCCTTGCCTTCCAGTCTCTCGACTTAGAATTTGGAAGTGGATTCCAACCCCGGGTCCTGCCCACCCAGCCCAACCCAGTGGACGCTTCCCGGGCCCAGTTCTTCCTGCACTTGTCCCCAAGCCACTATGCTCTGCTGCAGTACCTTTTTTTTTTCCTGAGTTTGCTTAAAAACTTCCCACAGGTAACTGCAGGCAACATGGTGTGTTTTTTTTTTGGAGATCTCTCCAAGACATGGATGTTAGAAGGCAGTACTTTTGAATCTGGATTTTTTTTTTCTTAGGCCCAAGACTGATGACACCTTCCCTTAAATGGTTTGAGAGGGGATATTTTTTTTTTCAGTGGAAATGGTATATTTCCTCCTGAGAATTACAAAGGATCTTTAGAGCATTTTTTTTTTCTTCCTTAGTCCAAAGGAAATATGGGGACATAAATGAGAGCTTCCCCGTAGTTTTTTTTTTCAAGCAGCATGGGACTTAAGATTGACGTGTGCCTGCGTTGGAGGTAGGGGATTTTTTTTTTTTCAGCTGTAGATGCAACTGGGGCCTCGCTCTGCTCTTAAATGCCTGACCATTCTGCTCCAAAGTGGGGAGCACTTTCAACTCTAAGGCCAAGGGCCTTCCCTGGAGAGGTGTTTTTTTTTTAGGCAGCTGGCTAGTACTGGTCCCATTTAGGAGCTGATGCCTTGCTTTTCCCCCAGACTGCCCTAGTGAGCTTTGCCACCACTGGGGAGAAGACGGTGGCTGCAGTCATGGCCTGTCGGAATGAAGTGGTGAGTATTGAGAACAACAGTCAGCACTTGGGGTTTTCCTTCCTGTTTTTTTTTTGGAACCCTGAAAATCAGAAGTCTGGGCACATTGGCCTGGTCAGTTTGAACCTTTTTTTTTTGAGGCTGTTGAGAAGTGAGGTCTTGCCTCACCTATAGAGCTTTCTGTACACTTTTTTTTTTCCCAGGAACGAGACCCTAATGTGATGACCTTACTTTCATATGGGGCTATTATTTTTTTTTTAGGCTTTGTGGGCAGGGGTGAGAAATGGGCTTTGCCTTCTCCCAAGTGCTATTTTTTTTTTAACAAAAGCTTCATTTCAGTGACTGGGAAGTGACCCTTTGGCTGAATTTTCTTTTTTTTTTCTCTTTCTCATAGCAGAAACCTAGCAATTCTGAAGATGGGTCAATGGGGAGTTTTTTTTTTAAGTCTAGTTCAAAGGTAGGGTGTGGCATTGGGCAGTATGCCAGACTGAGAGACGCAGGAGGCCACCAAAGAGAGTTGGGGGCACAGCTTTGGTTAGGAGCAGGTCTTAGAGTTTTTTTTTTCAAATGGGGTTTCCTAAGTACTGTAAATTAAATGATGTTTCTCTTAATCTCTTTTTTTTTTGAGATTAGGAGGTAAAATGCCTAGAGTCTGTTCCTAGCCACTTTCTCCTCTTTTTTTTTTTGTCTCCATTTTTTTGGGGATCCCGGCTGGCACAGTTGAGTAGTAATCTGTGTTTTTTTTTTGAAGCGGAGGCGTCAGCCCCTGGCTGGAGGCATAGGTTCCTGCTGTGGCTTCCATCTAAGCGTTTCCCTGCCTCCTGTCTTGCTCAGTCTTACTTTGCTCAGCCGTACCTCTCTTTCAGAAGTCTGCTACTCTGTACTGGCTTCCAAGACAAGTATGGTAGTTGTAATTTCATTTATTTACTCAGGCATCTTATTTCTGCCTTAGGATTTGGCTTGCTTTTCTCTTTTATTTTCTTTTTTTTTTACTTCCCCTTCTGGCCTGGCTCCTTCTCTAGGGTATTTGCCCCCAATCCTTGGACTTCCTTTGGTGGGCTTTGCTTTCGGGGGATGCCTGTAGTTGACCCGTGCTGTCTGTACCCCTAGGACTCTCTGGCTTGCTTCAATCAGACCTACACCATTAACCTGTATCTCGTGGAGTTTTTTTTTTGGCTGCTGGACACCACAATTACATTTAGCCTGGAACAGAGCGGCACTCGGCCTGAGCGGGTGAGGCAGAGCCTTTCTCTGCAGACTGTCCTGTGGGCTTCTCAGCACATGCCCTCCTTTCCTCAGGGCCAGGTCTTAGCCATGGGGCTTGGATTAGGCTCTCTGAACGTGTGTTCTAATGCTCTCTGAGCCACTGACTTGTTGGAAATCACAGTAAAGGCGGGTATTATTTATGCCAGCTCGTCATTGTGTACCAGGCACTGTTCTAAGCTTTTAACTTACACATTAATTAATTTTTTTTTTTTTACACTCCCGTGAAGCGATTGTTCCTGACCTGGTTTTAAAATGATTCTGAGGCCTGCTGGGATCGAGCACCACGGCCAGAGTCACGGAGCCAGGAAGAGGTGTTGCTGGGGTTCAGATTCAGGTCTAACCTCCCACAGCCTGGACTCATCACTACCCAGTATTGCCTCTGTGTATTTTTTTTTTTTTTCCTCAGCTGCTTGGGCTGTGGCTTCTTTGTTTCTAAAGCAGAAAGTCTAATCCTGGCCTCCTGCTCACTTTGTGGGGTATGATTAGAACATGGATGAATGGCGTAGTATTTTTTTTTTACTCATATTCCTCCATAGAAAGATCTGGGAGACCCCAGCATCATTGTGTTGTTTTTTTTTTATATGTATCACTTACTGGCATCCAGATAATAGCTACATTGCTTAGATATCATTTTTTTTTTTGGCTTGGGCCTCTGTTAAGTCCTAATGCTTTGACTCCTGGGGTCTGGTGCTCTCAGAGGCATTTGGATCCTCACTGACTACACTGGTCTTGACTGTGTGGCTTATAGCTGTTTTTTTTTTTGTTCTTGAAGAAGGATGACTCAGTGGGCTACCGGGCTTTGGTGCAGACGGAGGATCATCTGCTACTTTTCCTGCAGCAGTTGGGTAAGTAGACCTCATTCAACCCATTTTTTTTTTTTTTTTAGGCCTTCCCATGTGTTCCAGTCAGACTGTTTTTTGGGAGGCTGCAGGTTTTTTTTTTTTTTTCAAGCGGAGTGTGCCCCGAGCGTTTTGTTCACAGCCAAATGTCACCTGCTTTTTTTTTTCAAATTTTTTAAATTTTTAAAATTTGAGATAGAGTCTTGTTCTCTTGCCCAGGCTGGA